GAGGATGCAAAAGATGTACGAAGATCACGGTCATTGTTAGTATTACCGGATAAAATTCCAGAAACCACAATTCCATGCATATACAGCTCACCAATGTCGAACACTGACCAACACTTGTTCTCGCGGATTCAATTCCAACGACGCCTGCGAACCCGATACAAACCCCAGGCGCGTCAATACCTGCCAGACGAGTTTTCGCTTCACATTCTCGCGGATCGGAATCTTCTCGAGGGCATCGTATCCATTGAAGTATTTGATGTAGGTCGGCCAGAAGTGCTTCAGCGAGGTCCGCAGCCCCGCGTACTCCGGGTCGCCGCTTGAGCCACCAGGGCGTTCCGGGAATCGTGCGACAATCTCGTTCATCCAGCGAGATTCCAACGGCGATGCACGGTGGGGAAACAAAATTATCGACGCGGTTTTCAGAGACGTATCCCGATCCAACAAGGATCGTGTAATTTGTAGCTCATTGTCCTGTCTGTATCGGCCCGGCATGGGTGTTTCCTCGCCGCTATCTTGGCTTGCGAGCGAAGACGACGACGAAGAGCCAGCATCGTCGTCGTCATCGTCAGATCTGTCTGTTTTCTCGGCATTCGAAGAAACTGAGATTGACCCTCGCTTGCTCAGGTACTTGTCCACTTCCTCACGGCGAAGCGCCATTTCCACGGCCAATTTGATCTCGGGAGTCACTTTAACGCGGGAGAAGGATCGCAGCTGGGTAACCCAACCGCCTCGTAGTAGCCATGCCAGAATAGTGAAGTAGATGTCCTTATGGTCTTTACTCGGGATGAAACTGCCATACGGCCGAGGGGTCCCGCTCAGAGCAGACAGCATTTTTGGTAGGCTGGGTAGTGTGGGGAATGCCAGCTGATATGCAACGGTAGCTATGTCCAGCTTGCCAAGGTCACAGTTCGGCGACACGAAATAAGTATCTCGTTGGTGTAAAGGAGGGATCGCACGTGCCCGTCGCCAGTAAACCAGATGGCTAGCTAGCATTTGTATTGTCGGCAGTGGAATCCCTGACGACGTGGAGATCTGGGCAAAGGATTTTGTAGGCTTGGAGCATCGAATATAATGTGCTAACGCTGGAGCTAATGCACCCCCGGACGCCTCCACATCCTTGAGGATGGTTGCCTCGTTGTCTAGCAACAACAATGCAAAATGTTTCGCCAATACTTGGTGCGGTGCAGCATTCTCGTCTGCCGTGGGATCATCCACCGGAGTGATACTGTCAGCGGTTGTCAGCCAAAGACCCGGATAGGCTTTATCTGTTGGGCCTGGCAGGTATGGGGTCGACGTGAGAGGCGGAATTTGAAGGGAGATAGAAACATCCGGACTTAGGGAGACCGAGGCGATCTTCGACGCCGAGATGCTCGTAAATACCGTATATATCGCCCTTGCCAAAGACGATTGGTTGATAAGCTCAGAGTAGACGCTATTGATAGAGGTTCCTGCTCCATCGTCAGTATCAGACAACACATAAAGTGCAGAGGGACAGAATAACAACCCATACCCGATTCTTTCGCTTTCTCCTTGACGTGCAAAATATGCTGAGCCTCCCTCCATACATACCCCGTTCGGGCCTGCTCCCACTTCAACGCCTTTGCAAACTTCTTGATTATGTTGTCGTAGATCTCGCGCACGCGCATCGAATATTCCAACAACGGCGGATCCAACACAAACACGACATTAAACATCGTCATCGAATCCTTATCATCAACATCCAACGACTCATTCGGCGCCCGCACAGATCTCCCACTCATTATAGACCCCCGAATCGACTCTGACGCCGTCAATGGACTGAGCGTCTCCGTCGACGCCACCATCGACTCTCCGGCATTGCGAGTCTCCTCCGCCTCATTATGTCCCAGTTCACCCCCCTCCCACGCCGCACGAGGCTTCTTTTTCTCCTTCTTCCGTCGCTGTTTCCGCCACTCGCCATCATCCCGCACAAAGACTGGCCATCCCACAAACGCCAGGTCATTAATCCCCACCTCAAACCGCCGCTTATGCCACGCCCGCGACGGGCTCAACAACTTCTCCCACACATCAGCTGGAAGTCCCAGCAATGACTCCCAAGGAGGACGGGACGTTCCTCCCCGACCCCCTGCCGTCGTCGCGGCGGATGTTGGGCCTTCTTCCGCCCTTTCCGGCGGCTCATCCTCTATGTCTGAATTGCCCCCTCGTTTCCGCAACAACGCCCGGCCAGACCCAATGGATCCAGGCCGCTGCGATTCAACTCCCGGTGAGCCCGATATCGAGATATGGTCATCAATGCCAAAATTACTAGAGCGACGAGAGACGGCGCTACCGGCGAGGTAAGTCAGGTTGAGCGTTTGACTCGCGGTCGTGTTATTATTCGATGATGGTGGTGGTTGCTGTTGCTGTTGTTGATCGTCGTCATCTTCATCGGATGTTGGCCCGCTTTCATCGCTAGAGCTTGAATCATTGCTGTTGGAACTTTTTGCGCGCGAGGCGCGTCGACCCTTGCTGGCGGGTCGGAGGCTGTTCTCGCTGAGTGGGTTGGGAGGATAATGGAAAACGAAGCGTGGGCCGGCACGCGAGCGGACGATAAGGATGATGGCAACTAAACGTGGGTCTGGGGGACGAGCGATTGAGGACATTGGAGTGGTGGGCGATTCATCGCCTAGCGAAAGGAGCTTACCTCTTGGTCAAGTTGTTTTAAGGTCAGGGAGCGCGAAGAGTTGGTGGTTCGGCGGGTGAGCTTCCCCGCATAGACCACGTCCAACAAGGCAAATCTCCAATTGATCTTCAACCCCGTCAGCCAGGTACCATTGCTAGAATAATCAAACAAATCGTATATCGTTAAAATTCGGCCATTCATTTATTCAGAGCCTTATAATACAGTATAGGTAGGTACTATTGAGAGGTATATATATTCAAATCCACAACCAACCAACAACGCCCTAGTATCATCCAACAAAAATCTATCTCGTCCCATGGTATCGTACAGAGCGCGCAAAGCGTAAGACATATTCACGACTTTTTCTGGGTGGTCTGGCTCGAGGCATTTTCGTCCTGCTTTTTCGACCCGTCCTTCTCGAAAATAAGGCCTAGGTTCTTGAAGTCATCCGGTGCCATCAGATTCCTACATAGTTAAGATATTAGCGCATGAAGTCCCAGTAAGAAGCTGATATACCCATCGAGTACAGTAGAAAGCAAAGTCAAGAAACATTAAAGGGTTTTTATATCAGGGAAGCAACAGAATCATCGACATACTTATCCATGCGACAGGCCAGATACCCCTTGGCCAACTTCCGGCATTCTTCATCGTTGACTCCCCTTGCCCCCTTAAGGCACTTTAAATAATTTGAGATGAGATGTTTGCATTCGCCTGTGGCATCAAATATCCCCCATTAGCATCATTGTTGTTGGATTGATGGTCGAGGGACCAAGCTGGTGGGTATAATAACAAGGATAGATACCTTCATGGTCGAGAGGGAAACTCCCACGCTCGGGACTATCGACTTAATTAGTATTTTCCCATGGATATGGATATTTAGGTACACTATAATCGAACACAGACACCGAGGCTGATTTCACTGTAACTGAAAGGAAGGAAGAGAGAACTTACGGCGTAGGCTTAACATTCGTGGCGCCACCACCAGGACTTCCGAAACCCACCATCTTCACCGGTAGTTTATTCGCAAGGAAGCCGACGGGTAACTAAGTTGAATTATTGAGATTGCAGTATATGGATCAGCACGAAACAATGCATGTCAGGGCTTCACGCAGGAAAGCCGATAACGTAGCGACCAGAAAAGACGCCGGACCCCGGACCGACAGACAAACAGAACAAACAATACAAACAGTGCATCCCTACCAGTTTGGGATGGCGTCGCTGCGATGGCCTATCAAGTTTACATTGTTCATCCTACAGATGACAGGAAACGATATCAATTGGTGCACGATTCTATGGCGTTCCGCGATTTCCGGCTGTTTCATGACCCCCTCATATGCAGGAGGAGTCACCCTTGGACGCGAGTAAGTTGTGACCCTATATAAATGACGTCGTCCCGGCGGAATGCATACTTCATCACCGAACCTCCTACATATTACTTTCCACGACAACCTACTATTGTTACCAATATAATAAACATCCCGAAATACCGCCTCAAAGATGCCCATGTAAGACAAGGCCCCTATCGAGATCGCCGGTCAACTACTAATCAAAACAGGAAACTGGAAGGAAGCTGTCAATGCGGGGGGGTCGAATTCACCCTCGACTCGCAGACCCCAGTCCCCTATCAACTCTGCGCCTGTAGCATCTGCCGCAAAGTAGGTGGCTACAGCGGTAGCGTGAACCTGGGCGGAATTGCCGACAGTCTGAAGATCAAGAAGGGAAAGGATCTAATCAAGTACGAGTTGTCATGTCCCCTCACTTACCCATACCTACCGATTTCCTTGGTGGATTATAGTTGACGCAATGCTGACTCCCCTGTTAGAAAATACTCTGGGATCAAAGCGCGAGGCACTCCCGACCAGCAGCTCTGTTCAAGTGAACGGAATTTCTGTTCCAACTGCAGCACCATGCTGTGGCTGTGGGATCATCATTGGCCTGAGCTCATCCACCCATTCGCTTCGGCGATTGACTCGGATCTGCCAGTGCCGGATGAGATGTGCTGCATTATGGAGGGGTCGAAGCCGGCATGGGTGCGTTGGCCGGAAGGGAAGAAGCAGGTGCATGAGGTGTATGGAGGTGATAGTTTGGAGGGATGGCACAAGAAGCATGGGTTGTTTGTGGAGTAGGTGTCTGCTACCACTGATAAGCTTATGATGTCCATGGACGGCAGATCGAGCATATCGGATCTTCTGAGCATTGTAGCAGAGGGATGTTGTTCGAGATGTTTACGCAGCGAATCAGGGGAATTGTGGGTGTACCTAAACTAGTGCTATATTGGGGGTCGATTTTCTTTGACAAGGGTGGCTTACTTAATTCAATTTCAGACACGGATGAAGTAGCAAAAATATGTAAAAAGTGTTAGTCGCGCCCGGGATCGAACCGGGAACCTTCTGAGGATATCTATAGATTCGCTGTGAATCAGACGTCATGACCATTAGACCACGCAACTTTTAAACATAGAATTGCAATTTTTAATGCGCTATGGGATAAAACCTAATCATGAAGATTGCCAAAAAAAACTTGAGTAGTCGCGCCCGGGATCGAACCGGGAACCTTCTGAGGATATCCAGAGATTCACTTGTGAATCAGACGTCATGACCATTAGACCACGCAACTGCTTATGTGATCATTTCATCTATGATGTTAAAATATACCAGGACCATTATAAATGATATCTATATACTCCTGTTCAAACAAAGAGTGCCCATGCTGGAGTAAGTATACCATTGCAAGCTGTTCTCCAGCCCGCCATATCTGTTGAAAATCCGGCGAATCCGGCCGCTCCCTCCTATATTAAATGGTTGTTATTTAAGGTGATAGTAAGCTAGCCTCTGATCTTCGCAACAGTGTGGCTAGGAGCAGCTTTATATCAAACAGGATGGAGTGCTGTAGCAATCGAAGGCAGCCCAGCCAGGGTATATGGACGCAAGAGGATGAATTTGGATCTTATGGTCCTTCATGGTACTATGGCGCTTGGTAATTTTGGCAACACTGCGTCAGTATGATCTTAGAGAGCGCTACATCTGCACATATATATATATATATATATATGTGCAAATTATAACTGACTTGGGTCGAAGCAATATCTGCGACTGCATCAGGGTGTCCTCCCCCACAAAACGGAGGAGGGGGCATACCATATCCCTTATACAATTTCCAAATAGTCTATTATTCCATAGTAAATTGTTTGCCAACGATCCTGGCTCGCCACAGGGTGGGTCGAAACTTCATTCCATCCCGCCCCAAGACAAAGTAATCTCCGAAACCCTAAAGCCAACATGCAGATTCATTTACGGGCTTACAGTTAATTACTCTGCATTTAAATATATTCACAGCCGGAGAATAATATAAAATTGAGCTAAATCAATTAAAACAATACCGATGATATGTAGCAAAAATATAGTTATTATACCATTAATTTAATAACCTACGGTAGCTGCACACGATGGATGCTATATCCAATCCTTAAAGAATATACTCTGTTTAGCATCTCCTCCCTACTCCACATCTCCTAAATGCCCCAAATAAAGCCATTCGATGTTATCAACAGCAGTGTCAAAATAAAAGATGTGTATAATAACACTATGAGGCCCAAAATGTTGATTGGTTAATTTTCTAGGCAAATTATGCGGACTCGGTTTTTTCTTTATCTTTCCGGACTTTACTCAAGTTCCCAAGACCCTAATTACAGTCATGTATTGTAGGAGGGGGAAAGGGTTGAGCCCAGTGTTAGGGGCGAGTTCCGGTGTATGGGTGGTGCAGGCAGCTCTACTGGTCCTCATGTGACATAACTTGCGGCCGTTGCAGCCGCAAGTTAGGAAGTAGGATTTAGGGGTCAAAACGGGAGAAAAGAAGAGGTTCCTTTATTAGGACTGTTGGCCTTGCTTGCTAGTAGATATATGGCCGCTTAGCTGACTAACTTCGCTGGTTCAGACAAAAGGAAAAGTTCCCACCAACTCTGCTTCAGTATCTAGGACAAGGCTGGCCGGGGGGATCTACTTAACCACGGGGTAATCTGGATACTACGTATTGGAAGAATCAAAGACTAGAATACAGTGACAGTATGTCCTATGTTCCTCCAGAGACCTGTATAACCCTTGTGAGAGCCTTCCTGCTCCAAAGCTTATATATAACAACTACTAAAACTGCACAGAAGCTAGAGATCCCCATGCCCCTAGATAGATCATTCAACCCGAAGGGAAGATAAAGGAATAAGTTGTTCACTTCCAAAGGCTTTTTTACATACGATCTGAAGCCAGGAGACTGAAAAAGAAAAGAAAATAACCTCATACCTCCTCCGTTGATATATGCGTCTATATAATGCTTAAAAACAACTCTATCCATGTTATAGTATATCGGGAGGCGTATGTTCCGCATGCCACAAATCTAACGATTGAGAAGATGATGCCTGGCTGTATATGGGGGAGAGTGAGGCTGACAAGAAAAGATTGTCATGAGGCAAAAAATTTTAGTAGTCGCGCCCGGGATCGAACCGGGAACCTTCTGAGGATATCCAGAGATTCACTTGTGAATCAGACGTCATGACCATTAGACCACGCAACTGCTTATGTGACCAAAGAACGAGGAAAAGAATATATAGCCCAAAGTAACGGCTGACGACAGTCACTATGTAGAGCACCACAATTTAACCTACAATGCACAGCCTCATAACAAAACTACACGACTATGTTGTGATCCTTCTAAACCCCTGCTGTTAAAATTGAGGAACTGCGTGAAATGTGTTGGCTAAAGACAAGTCAAAGCCCAATTGTGCCAGAGATCACGGAGACAATACCATAAGATACCTATGTAATTGCAAACAGAAGAATTATAAATTTGGATGATGGAGGTTATGCTGGTGTAGATACTTGGATTTTCAATCCTGGACCTGTTCCACCTATTACCAGTTTCCTTTGGCGGCTTCATCGCCAGAGAGTCAACACAACAAGCTCGGTAACAAGTCCGTCATGATGGAGGGTTGTAGAGTAGCACCACGCCCGGCTGACAATTCAACGACACTTCAATACTGGTCTATTAGGACATAGATTACGAGCAGTTTACATTCAAGGGTAATATGGTTGATGAGGTTACATGTACCATGGAGTAAAAAGTGTGATTTTGAATAAGTTTCAATGATATTGATATTCTCTAACTGCATCTGATCAACAAATCCTGTGTTAATGTTAGTTACAGAAACACACCAAGCATCCAAAAGCATGAATGAAGAGACGAGGGATCAGTTCTCCAAGGTGAAATATGGTTTTTCTTCAATTATGTTCAGTAAGAACACAGCGAATATTGGATTCATCATTGAAATGTGAAGATGGGAAGGATTAGGGCCTACTCACGCTTAAGATCCGGACGTATTGTTACAAAAATACAATTCCCTATAATGACCTGTAAAGTCAGCAACACGTCCACCACAGTGTATGTGTGAGTTGAAAAAGAAGTTGAATATCAACGAAGTCAGGCTGCCGAATTGTTAGCGAGAGCCCATGACATTGAGCAGCCAGGAGTACGAACCTCATTAAATCAGAATTTTTGTTTAACGTTCATCTCCGCCGAAACGGATCAAACAGTGTGAATATAAAGATTTCATCATATAATGTTGATTGGATGTCCAGGGGGATCATATGAGAGAAAGCAACGAGGAGAATTAATACCTATCATCCTAGTTAGCATACAGACCATCACAAAATGGCAAAATATGCTGAATGATGCAAGGCTCAGGTGACGAGTTCTCAACAAGTTATACACTTTTCCACATCCTCAGAGTTTGTACGCTCTGGTTTGATAGATGTGGGCCGGTGTACACGTTATGTCCGCCCGTTCGTTCAAAGTATCTTCATCGACATGCTCGAGGCAAGGATAATGGATGGTAGATATTTACCTATTCAAGATCTGTTAGTGACTGCTGACTGACAAGACTTGAGTGATAAATCGAGTGAGATTTAGGAGGATATGTCAGACAAGGCTGAAACTTTGTAAAGTACACGAATTCCACATGGTAATTAAGTTTGAGGAATGCCTTAGCGTGTCATAGAGTCATCATTCAAAGGGAGGGAGAGGGAGGCGAGAAGATTGATTAAGAAAAAAAAAGTTCACATACCTTTTAGAAATTTGCACAGTTGATTTGGAGTATCAATGGTGCTTGATACTGATAATTATTACTAAGTTGACTGAATCTGAAGTGAGATTCACGCATTATTGTCGAGTTGAGAGGAAGCTGAACTCATGACGAGTTGGAGCTGCAAGCTTGAAAAGGTAAGAAAAAATTGTTGTGGGAGCCGCGGTTTTATAGCGAAGAAAAAAAAAAGGGTACGGGAAGTGAGAGAGACCAATGGTGCTGTTGCCATTGCACTCCACTGGAGCTATGCCCTTCTGGGAAGTAGTACGTAAAGTCACGGGATGAGAGCAAGACGTTCCCCTCCTGCCAATCAATCCAACATGCATGTCATGCCATCTCACAGTCTCACCATGAACATGAATATGAACCTAAGCCCAAACCCCGACACTCCGCCCCCCCCTCCCCCAAAGCCGAGTAGCCACGAGGCAAGTCGTGGGGGTACTCCTCAGATACATACTTCTTCTCCAGCTCCCCAGCAATGGCAAGATGCCCGATCTTATCGACCAGACAGCTTTACTATGACCAACTCCAATCCCCAGTCCGCGAATGCGCTGCCCAAACCACCTACAGTCGAAGAAGGCTGGTTACCCGATGATGTGAGAGATAAGTCGTATGTGTACTGTTACTCTCTTCGCAATTAGGCACCGTCATATCTGACAACAGCTCCAGGACGGTGGATCTACAGACTATCCTCAAAGACCCCCACCTTCTCTCCGCTCTCGCAAGTCGTCATCCCTCATACACAGCCCACCAACAGAGCCTCCAAGCTCTTTTGAAATACAACCAAGATCTCGCCAACCACCTTCTAGAACTTCAGTCACGTGTAGATGAATTACGCGGCTCGACAGAAACCCTGCTCCTAACCCACCAATCCCTCGAAGTCTCCTGGCGGAAGAAGCAATCTGACATGGATGCCGCTCTGGCACCATGGTCCCCGAAGGCCCTGTATCAACGGCTTGCGGCATCGATCGCGGAGCAGGAGGCGGTGTGTCAGGCCGTCGAGGAGAGCTTCCTCGAAGGAGAACACCACGGTCGCGCGTCCGAGAAAGAGGTTGCGGATTGGATTCGGCGAGTTCGTGGGGAGACGGCTAAGCTGGCTGCGAGACGGGAGGCTAAATCGCGATGGGATGAGGGTAGAGTGGGTGGTTGGAGATGATCTTCTCGAGGGTCTACCTACAATTGGATTGGATGAAGGTACAATCTATTGACAAGTCACATTCAAAGGGAGCTCAACCACATGTGGAACTATGTTTGACACACGATATCTGAGACACTACAATCCACCTCCCCCGAATATATCCTTACGAACAAACTGCGACCTC